TGGCTTGGCCTGTTCGAGAATGGTACTAGAGTAAGTATGAATCCTAAGTGATGCATTATGCACAGTTACTCTAATGGTAAATATTTAAACTCTTGTTTTTGTGCACAGGTATTTACATCCAGTAAGTGAGGAGGAATTTCAGAGAGCATGCTTGGACTTGGAGTTTACGGAGAGCGTGTGGACTATTGACCTGACTTATCTCATGTGTAAGCTGGGGGTCAGACACTGCTTCTACACACAGACGCTCGGTGTGGACAAGGGCTTCAGGAACCAGGTGCTATCTGTTTTTCAAATCATGTGATACAGTCATGATCACTGCAGATAGAGTACAAGCGAAGTGTCACGTGCAGCGCAGGAAAGAATGGATGTTTCAGTTCATTTTTCCAAGAAAACGGCATTAGTCAGGGCCGTTTTAACATTCATATAAAAAATATTCTTGATTTTATTTATGATTGAAGAGCTGTAATTTTAATCAAAGGATGAGTTCGGACTCGAGAGTGATCACCTTGGCATCTGAATAATTTTTCCATTTCTTGTGTTCTTCTGCATTTAGTCTTTCTACAAAAAGCATTTTGACACGGAAGAGGACAGGGTGAATGAACTATTTCTGAAGGCTGAAAGCAAAGGAGTCCTGGTGAAAAAATGGTGAGGTTTCCACATTGAACACATTTTCTGTTTTTCCTTTGTGGCGCATACTGACACTTTGTGCGGGTTAAAATCGTAATTGAAAATTTGGATATATATATAAATAGAAATTTCATGCTTGGATCATGGAAATGAATACAGTTGTTAAAAACAAACAAACAAATATTTAATGTGTATATTTAATAAAAATGTTTTGAATCATATTATAAAGACATTCTATGCAGTAATTAGTCACAACTGGAAAAGCCATAGAAACTGGTTGGCCAAAAAGCCATGCACAATATTGAACTTTTGGAATGTATTACTATTGGCAATACTGTATATTTAAGTATGCGTTTTTACAATTAGATTTTTACATTTAACTTATCTTTAAAAAAGCTTTTATTAAATGCAAATTACATTGCCTTGAACACATACATATTTTTATCAGTTTATGTACTCTGTGGACTACATGGATGCTTAAAATCTATTTAAAATCATAGTTTTTGTTTTTTATTCATTTAGACAAAACAGTATCAAATTTAATTTAATAGTTGTGTATATATAGTTTCAGTTCTTTGACATCAGAAGTTTTCATTTCGAGATTATATCAAAACATATTCCAGTATACTGAAACTCCTGTGCTGTGCATGAAGAAATCTGATCACATCTTGTTCTTGTAGCTCTGTTACGGTTCAGGAGATCCAGAGCCACCTGGAACAGGGTCATGTGGCCATCGTGCTGGTCAACGCAGTGGTGTTGGTGTGTGAGCTGTGCTCCACCCCTGTCAAATACTGCTGTTTCCTCCCTGTGGGTCAGAAGTGCTTTTGCAGGAAGCCAGATTACCAGGGCCACTTTGTGGTGGTGTGTGGATTTAACCGTAAAACTGGCAGCATCTTCTACAACAACCCCGCCTACTCGGACCGTATGTATTGTGAAGTTTTGGAATTATTCTTAAAGACAGCACAAGCACACTGTTAATGCAAAACTTTTTTTTAAAACACACACATAGGGTTTAAATGGTTAAATACATAATAATAATATTAATAAATATTAATTCAAATATTTAAACAAAAATACATGGATACTTGAAGTATCCAAATAAAATA